TTGATTTCTATGGTATCTCGGTTAGTGGCCCAAACTGGAGATATATTGTGCAGTTTTCACTGAACATTGCTCCTCCACTACCTGCTGTGTACTGTCACGTCATCTTTTCCCTTCTTAATCAGCTGGATGTCATTCAGAAATCTGGGACAAGGAGAGTTTTTTCCCCAGACACCAGCTTTCCTTGGTAGCAGACAAACCTCATAATACTACTACCTTATAATACTACTTGCACATAGCATTTATATAGCTTTACATCATCAAAATGCTGTACTAGCATTAAGTAATTATCTCTCTCCCTAATGGCCATTAACGCTGGCCTTTCATGAACCTCCCCCAGCTCCCTGAGGTTCATATCTAATACAGCAATAAGCTGCTCAAAGGGAGTGGCTGGTTATCTTGCAAGTCTACAGGCTTGGATGTGTAATGAAGCTTCAGAGCAGAGGCCAGGTGCCCTGGAGTATCAGAAACATGTGGCTGTAGACCAGGTCATGCACTCGGGAGTATCCCTTAGAAGGGGATAGAAAAGAGTAGGTGATCCTGCGATTTTGAAATGGAGACAGAAGAAGGAAACTTTGGCCCCTCAGAGAATACGCGCTGATTGCTCTATTTATTACCAGGACAGTACTGCAAAATGAAAAAGCAAAGTAGTGGGAATAACATGTCAATGTGGGCACAGGGAGCTAGCTGAGAGAAAGGGAGAGGAAGTTAGAAAGCTAAAAATGTCAAGCAAAGCTAGACAGCCATGGCAATGGGATAAAGAGGCCAGTCTGCAGGTCTATGAAGCATTAAAATTACAAGGAGAAAGGGCGAGCTTGGCAGCATCATAGAATTTGAAGAGAGGAAGAGAAGAGGATTTACTTGCCTTATTTGCTTGAAAGCAAATCGCTCTTCCAGATTGTGGAGTGTCTCCAGGAGAGGTGTTGCAATGCAACCCTTTGAGGACATTTCACCCTTTAGAAGCCTTTCCAAGACGCACCTGCATGATAGCTGGATTCCTCCATCCCTGGCTCTTGAGTGAGATGGAGGAAGAGAGGGTTTCAGAAAAGACTCAGGAGCACCATGCTCTTGACAAGCATCAGTCCTGCATGGTCTTTTATTTCTGAAACCTGTCGGGCCCAGCTCTGAGCAGATAGAGACTTGTCTGAAACAAACTTTCAGCTTCTCTCCAAAGACACAATAATGATTCTTTCAAAAGAAAAAAGCAGCATCTTTTTTTTTTTTTTTAGCCTGATTTAATAGTATCATTTTGCTTTTATGCTTCTGGCAATGGCTGGTCCTGTAAAAGAACCACGTAGCCATGGGAATCACGTGCAAGTCTACAGTGGCATTACAAAGATCACATCCACTACATGTTATGCAAAGAATTTCTGTCACCCTGGACACACTCTGCTTCCTATGGCATCCGTAGCAAAATCTCTGCGCTCAGCTCTAAATCGTTTTGCTGCATCAGCAGATAACAGAGTACGGGTGACTGCAGACCAGGAAGACTCAACTGAACATTCACTTACTACACAGCTTCAGAGCAGGGCCTTTCTCTGCCTTCCTGCATCTGTTTTCTCGTCTGTGAAATGGGAATTTTAATCCTAATCATTTTGCGAGGGAAGCAGTAAGGGATAGTCAAAGGCAATGCTTTAAAATATAATAGTCAGCCTGATGTGCTAGGCTAGACGTTGGAGTGGTTTTATGGTACAGTTTAAGTGATACCTCTTTTGCTCACAGCTAGCTAGTAAGTGTAAGACACAGCATTTGCTCTCAAAAATGTGGCGCCCTCTTTGAGATGCAAAGAGTACCTTTGCGAAAAGTACCTTCTTATCTATAGCGTTGTGGTTCAAGCCAACTGAGACAAAGAACCACACGGCCTCCGGCTCACTCTTCCCCTCACCCCCATTTCCAAAGTGATGTGGACAGAGACAATTCAACTAAAAAAGGCTCAAGGGTTTGAGATTAAGGATAGGGAGGGTAATAATCTACCATTTAAGATGACAGGTAAAGAACCACAGCAACTTGTGGAGAAAAACATAGATTTAATTCACCACCACCATTTATGAAGTAGAATAGCAAGAGGAATACATCAACAAATATGACTTACCTTAAATACACTTTGGGCCCCCCTATGTTCCTGGCTACCTCCTTCCCCCCATCAGTGCAAGGGGTGGCAGGGGTTGGGCTGTGCAGTTCATCTGGGAATTGCTCATCATCCATGGCAGCCCTCTTCCGCCTCTTGAGGTACTCAGGGCCATGGATCGCTTCAGGCATGTTCCCTGATGATGCTCGGTCTGTCTCCCCTCTGGCATGGGGCTCTGCATGTACTGATGCATGCTGGACATTCTCACTGCCATCCGTCCCTCAGTGGGCACACAGTCACCCTCCTGCCATCTCAACCACCACGGGCTTCAGGGCAAGGTCCTGCTCTGGCAGCCTTCTCCCTCTCCTTCTCCTCTGGGACTCTTTTCCCCTTCTTACTTCTCAGCGCGATGTTCTTTTGTTCTCCTCTTACATCCCTCTCTTCCAACAGAAAAACTCCCCAACAGTAACGACAGGACAGCTCAAAACAAGCCGAAACCAAAAGAGAGAAAGAACAATGGGATCACTTCTTAAATACCTTGATGGCAGAGATGCCGATTAGCCTGGCCCCAGCCAGAGGCAGGTTCAATTCCTACCTGGGGGTAGGGGAGACTCTTGAAGTTTTGCATGAGTCTTCCCCTGTTTTTACAAAAAAAACCCCATCAGACTCAAACTTATGGCATATAGCATACCAAAAAAGTAATTTGATTATCAGTTATTGCTGGATTAATTTTTAGTAAAATATTTGCCTCACGTGATGTACAGGGCTAGGAGGAATGCTTTGGCAGTCCTTGGTCTCCACCATGTGAGCTAAGCCAAGACCGTGTCATCGGATCCTTGGGACAACTGATGACTCTGTATGTCACTTTAGTGCCAGTTCTTCACCAGAGGTGACCTGAACTTTTTTTTAGCTTATTGGATCTGAGATGGGACTACTGGCTTCTCTGCCCTGCTTTCAGGGCCAGGTCCTCAAGGGGTGTAAATCAGGGCCCTCCCATTCAAGCAATGCTGCTGTTTATGTAAGCTGAGGACCTGGTTCATAGATTCTGAACTGCTCTAAGACCTGCTCAAAAGGGAGTTAACGGTGTTCAATTTATTGTACCACCTGTAATTTCAAATGATCCTGCAAGATTCAGGATATTGCACATGTAGAAAGCTTTGCAATAAGTAATCATTTTGAGATTGCTGGGAAACTGGAGTTAGTGCTACTTAAAGGAGAACAAAATAAGCATTAGCCCAACACAGTTTTTACAACAATCAGGTTTGATGTATGTCCTGTTCTGTTGATAACATTTCCTCAGAGCTCTTCACAAGAAGGGAAAGCAACTTGTAAAAGCTGGGAGTGCAGAAAAGAGCTAAAATTGCAGCCAGGGTTTCAAAGGAACAAACAAAGAGAAGCATATTTCCATTTCTATTATGGGAGAACATTCTTGGGAGTTTAGAGCAGCAAGCTGAGAACATGCCAGCCAAGCCATCTCTAAATGGGTGCAGAGCTGCAATGAGCTTTTTAGCTTCTTGCATCACAGTTTTAAGCACCTCTGCACTTAGAAAAGAAAGATGTTCCTGAGACTTATAAAATTTCTCTTTTTTGAGCACTGTCCCTCTTGCTTCCAGGCACTGCAGTGTCTCTCTGTACTGACCCTTCCCCGCACTGGTTCTGCTTTCATCAGGCAGAGACCTGTGGCAGCTTGGGAGAACTGGCAGCTCAGAGGAGAGCTTCTGTTTGTACAAGTAATGTTTTCATCCAAGCAAGTGCAACAATCTCATTATTTTGAATAGCCACACATATGCTGGAAACCTAGATACCAGATGCTTTCTCCCCTGATCCTTCACAGGACCAGCGAGAGTTCTGCCTGTTTGATTCCATTGCAGTACTACAAAGTTATTAGCACTTGCTTCTTTTGGTGCCCATAATGAGACAAGCAGTCTTCCTAGCAGCATCACAGAAGTGCTCATTTTTATCACTGCAAAATCTCGGACACTTCACCCTCAGCAGAAACAAGTGCTGGAGACTTGGAGCCATACTGCTTCCAGCACCGGCTGCTCTTATCAATTAGCTGTTTCCCCACAGATGGTGCTTCTTATGTAGAAGGACAGAACAGAGGAAAACTTGTCTTGCTCAGAGATGCTTATTTAGAAATCTCTAGTGAATCCAAAGGTAAATCCATCTGCTTTCAAATGGTTTGCATGTGTCCTGCAAACCTGCTGCCTGCCTGCTGTATTCATGTGCCCTAGAGAAGGGTATAAAGTGCCTTCTCCCTGGCTTGGCACAGCCCAGAGAGGCTTCGTCCATGGGCTCTTCCATTTCCCCAAAGGGGCTGGTTTTCCTGCCTCCATTACGTGCTGGGCATCTCCCTGCATGTAAGACCCTGTTCTTCACGAACAGACCGCCTTTTTGCAGTGCGGACTGGCAGTCATTTACATATTCAAAGCACTCTTTGAGAAGGCCTGTAGCACAGTTTTGTGAGCGCAAAATCTTTCATGCAATTAGGTGATGTGCATATGCCTGTGCATGGCTTTTAGAAAACCTTACTGAAGAGGGACAAACCTCACGCTGTATTTCTGGTGGGTGCCTCAGAGCGCAAAACTCAGCATGGTACTTTGTTGAACACTGTTTGTTGCCTCACCTCGTGGTTCATCAGACTGTAGGGTTGGAGTATGCTCTTGGCATTTTGTCATTTGATTTCTTTACAAGCCCATTTTGGGAGGAGAGGACATCATTTATCTTGATACATTTCACTCCCTATCCATCATGTTAACCAGGTGGGATTGGCGGGTTAGCCCATGGGCGGTTGGGGAGGCAGTAGCTTTTCTGAACAGCTCCTTTTAGATGGAGCTTACAGGGAGGCCCTGAGTTTGTCCACATCATGCCAGGGCTGACCCCATGCTCAGGGTTCCCGTGACTCAGATTTCCTTGTGTCTTTGCCCTCACCCAGGTTGGAGGACACACCATGCTGCCAATCCGCTGGATGCCTCCGGAGAGCATCATGTACAGGAAGTTCACAACAGAGAGTGACGTCTGGAGTTTTGGGGTGATCCTCTGGGAGATCTTCACATATGGGAAGCAGCCCTGGTTTCAGCTCTCAAACACAGAGGTAAAACAGTGCTGAGACACCTCAGCTGGAAACTCTACTTTTTACCAACTCTCCTTTCCAGCCTGCTTGCAAAGCAGTTTGCACATAGGTAGTCCCCTCCTTGGCACCCCCAAGGCTTCATCATGGGATAAGTGTCGTTACCACCATTTAAGAGCTGCAGAAACTGAGACATGCAGGAAATCAAAGGGCCCTGCCAAAACCATGTACTGGCTCACCCTAAGTCTTTCCCTTCTAATATAGAGACATATGATTTCTGTGTCTCCATAACAGCCACATCTGATAAACTCTCGGGGTGCTGCCAGAACTGGGGGATACCCCAATTAGTGCTGGGATCTAAGTTATTGCCATGCCTTGAATTTCCTCCTTTGTAGCTGAGGATCTTACTGCAGTCTTTAGGTTGTGAGAAAGTGTCTGAAACCTGTTACATGGCATGTGACACATTTCTGTGGGGCTTTTTTGCCACAGGGGTGTCTATCACATGGTTTGCCCCAGTTCCTTGAGGGTGGAACCCAAGGAGCTGTTTTGTCCATGTTATTTCTTTGAATGGCAAAAGTTGCAGCCCATCAGTATAGGGCTGTGCTGTAAAAATGTTGAGGAAAGGTTGGCTGGGATTAGCAGTGTGGCAAAGCCGAGGTTTGAGGCACATCAGCAGAAATGCTTTGGAAGATTTTTGCTCAGAATAGCAGGGGGTATTATAGAAGAGGAACAAGATGCATTGACAAAGCAGTGTGTGGGAACCTTGCACATTTTTATCCTACTGTGTATCTAATAGATTTAAGAAATTTCACCTTTTGTAATGAGAAATGTGCATTTTCTGCTTTCTGGATACAGATCCCTTAATTAAGTGAGTTGCAGAGATGGCAAATCCAAGGTGTTCCTTTACAGCTCTAATACTTGCCCATTCGTGTGCTCAATGGGGCCTGACTGTATATCCCAAAGTAGCACACGCAAACATTTTAGAGACACAAACAATGGAATTGACAGCGACAGAAGTTATTTGTCACGCTATTTAATGAGCTACTCTTGCATTTCCCTGGGAGGGTAAATCCAAACATACACAAACAAGCACATGTAGCTTGTGCATGGGTTATAAGCACCCTGGAATGAGACAGCTCAGCTTCCCGCATGCTTTCTACCTCAGATTCCTTTGCAGGGCAGTAGGACTGAGAAAAGTCACCTTTAACCTTGAGTAAGGAGGGCTGGTTGAATTCTGCACAGATGCAGCTGTATCGGCTTTGCTCCCATCACAGGCAAAAATCTTGTCCTTCCCTTTCCTATCACTGTATCCAGTTCCTTCTGAGAGCTGAGGATCCCCTGCTCAAACCAGTCTCCTGGTGGGAGGGACCCATGTTACCTCTAATTTAGCTCCTTTTCCACAGTTTGTGGAGAGATGGGCGAACCTGGGTGGCTGCAGAGGACTGGATGGTGAAGGATCAGAGCTGCAGAGCCCCATGGAGAGGCAGCTTAACGGAGCCTGTGCTAAGCTCTGGGCTGCTGGGGCTGGACTGTGAGCAGTCATCGGGCTAGTCAAGCATCACTGGTGCTGAGTGTGAGCATGAGCAAGGCTGGGATACCCTCTCCCTCCTGTGGCATCCTCATGGCTTCCCACCCTCAGAGCATTTTTAGCAGGTGTTGTCAAGGCTGGAAGAGACCCTGCCTGAGCAAATGAATGAGGCACCACCTCATCTGAAAGCTGCAGCATATCCATTAACTTCTGTCTATGCCCTTCCTTTGTGCTGGAGAGAAGGGGCCCACCAGAGGACTCCTGTGCATGTCCAGGAGGTTTTATAAGAAACCATAGCTCACCTACCCTCACAAGTCACTGCTGCTAGCAGCTTCATGGCAGTGCAGGCTTCTCTTCATGCTGTGTCTTCCTCAGCTCGCTTTTAGCAGGCCTTAATCAATCCCCTCTGTATTTATATGCAAACAGCAAAGTGATAAGTATCTGTTGAGCTGTGTGGCAGGCCCATTACTATTCATAAATGATAAATTCCAAACACCCCTTGCTGGGTGGCTTCCCTCAACATGCTGCTTGGGATCTGTGTTTATCTGCAGAGCGTGACAGGTCACTCGCAAACTGCAATGCTGGGACTCATCACCTCCAACCAAGGAGGCCAGATGGCAATAGCAGCTCTCTGACAAATCATACCTACCTTCCCTTTGCATCCGTTCCTCTAGTAAACAAAACATAGACACTTAGGGAAGTCCTTTCCAATGGCATCCCTCTGAAGAGACTTTAACACTATCCAAGCGCTCTCATTTCTCTCACGAGCAACACTGACCTGACTCAGAACAGAGTGTTAGCACTGCAGATTTTTTTTCTCCATCATAGGTGCAATTTGAAATGAAATTTCATTCTTTCAGGTGCTTTTCTATGTCAAAATGAGGCAAAGCTGCCCTTGGAGATGGAGGTAGTAAAACACTCTGAACTCTCCCTTGTAGAACTCTCCTGGGCTTTGCAGTGGAACGAGCTCTTGATTTTCAGGGAAGAAAAACATCATATCAGCTGTGCAAGATATTACTTTGGTGTGGAGATTTTAAGGCTTTTTTTCTTTCTTCAATAAACAGGGAAAACTGATGCTATAAACTGAAACTTCATTTCATTTGCTTGTGACCTCCTGTTTGGAGAGTGCATTGAGGTAGGTAGGTGTCAAATGGGGAAGACTTTCAGGAACTGCAAGACTGCCGCTGGAGACAAACTTTACACTATAAAATTATCATAAACAGCACACAAACAAGTAAACATTGAGGATCTGCAAGGCTCTGGGCTTCTCAGTGTCCTCATTCGCTAAATGGTAGCACACCAGCCAAGAAGTAACTGGGACAGGACATCCCACAGGAACTGCCTGGTGATCAAAGACTCTTCTCTTTCTCTTTCAGGTTATTGAGTGCATTACCCAAGGCCGAGTTTTGGAAAGGCCTCGAGTCTGCCCCAAGGAGGTTTACGACATCATGTTGGGCTGCTGGCAGAGAGAACCTCAGCAACGGCTCAACATCAAGGAGATCTACAAGATCCTTCATGCTCTGGGCAAGGCCACACCAATCTACCTGGACATCCTTGGCTAGCAGTGGCCACTTGTCAAAAGTCCCTGCTCCTTCTTTCCGTCCTTCCTTTCCTCTCCCCATCCCAAGTCCTTTGCCCCTCAGCTCCTGAGCAAACATCTTCATATAAACTCAAGTGCCTGCTAAACATACAACACTGAAAAAACAAAACAAAACAAAAAGCAAACCAACAAAAATCCCACAAAACAGCAACCTGTAAGGCAGTTTGGCTTATATA